GATGGTTATATTATTACATTACCTAATCTGGGCTACATTAAGTATAGCTATAGTAAATTGATTTTGGATATAAATGAAAATCCAGTATTCTTTCTATCGTGCAAGGGAAAGAAAGAGTAGTTGAAGTTTATTACTTACAGTGAGTAAACCAAGGCTTAGAAACGTAGTAACTTTTCCAACGTTTGAATTTTGTTTGAATGATGGAACCGGAAGTTGGAATTCAAAGTGCTAGCTGTACATTTTATGTAGTTGATAGTTGTTAGTATCTACTGAGTAGAATTCTGCAAGGTGCTCTTGAGGTTCTTAGAGACTTTGTTTCCTTTTCACTTGGATCCACCAGCTGTTCTACACAGGTTTATTGGCTCTGTTTTCATGAGGCTTATGCAGATAACCTGTGAGTATTAGCATTATTTGGTGCAGAGTTTGAAATATTAATGTTTAAAAATAGAAAAGAATCCATGAACTTCAGTGCCAACATGGTAGTTGGGACTCAGTGCAGTTGGGGGAGGATCAGTGTGCCCAGGCTTGTCTTTGCTCCTGGTAGCTGTCCCAGCAGATATTAGTGGGCTCCATTGCTTTCTCCTTTATCCTTTTGCAAGGATATGATGATGAGCCAGCAGCATGTTATATGAATTTCACTTCACTTTCTATGTAAAGGTATAATAAAATGAATACTATTTACATGAAAGGAGGCCAAACATTTACTCAGTATATATGTCAGATTTTGATGGGCAGACTTCTGTGAAAATATATTTTGTATTGAGTTTTTTTGAGAATTTCATACACTTAACTACCCCATTTTAATTTCTTCTTTTTTTTTTAGATTATTTTTATTTTATGTGGATCAGTGCTATGTCTGCATGTGTATTAAGTGTACCCATGTTGAGCAGTGCCTGTGGAGACCAGAAGATTGTGTTGGGTTCTCTGGGACTGGAGTTATAGACTATTTTTAGCTGCCATGTGGATGCTGGGATTTGAACCTGGGTCCTTTGCAAGAGCATCCAGTGCTCTTAACTGCTGAGCCATCTCTCCAGCATGTTTTAATATATTTTTTTAAGGCCAACCAAGTCTAATTTAAATGTTCTTTGGTGTGGTCCATCCCCTGAAACCTGATGGACCTACTCAGAGTGGGACCATTAGGGAAAACTGACTCTCCCCTTCCCAGTAGCTATTAGTTGCCAATAGTGCCTCAGCTAGGACTAGGGCTTCTTGCCCACCATCCCCCATCCTGGGATTTTCTCTGACTTGAGCTTGTGCATGCTGTCACAAGCTCTGTGAGTTCATGTAACTGTCCTCCTGTTGAGAAAACTCTGTTTCCTTGTGGTCATTCACCTCCTCTGGCTCTTACAATCTTTCCACCCCCTCTTCTACAATTGTCCCTGAGCCTTTAGAGGAGAGGGTGTGATATAGGTGTCCTCTTCAGGGCTAAGTGCTCCATAGTCTCTTATTCTTTGCACATTAGTTGTGGGTCTCTGTGTTAATTACCATCTGCTGCTGGAAGAAGCTTCTCTGGTGAGAGCTGAGAGGTTTGGTAATCTGTGCGTATAAGAAGTCATTAGGAGTTGGTTTAATTCTGTGTTCAGTTAGCAGAATAACAGTCGTAGGCTTTCCCCACTGCCTATAACATGTCTAGCCACAGGTTCTTGGCCCTAATAACCATGACAGGTTGTGAATAAGAACTGTTAAATCTTGTGAAGCAGGCCTTAAATCCAACCAGAAAGTGGTTGCTTACTCCTATAACATTTGTGCCACCATTGCACCAGTGGGCACATTTTGCTGAGTCAGTTATTGTAGTTTGAAGGCTTCATAGCTGGGTAAGTTTGGTGATTACCTTTTTCTTCCGATAACATGTATAGCCCCTTCAAGTAATATGAACTCTAGCCAGTAGAGTTGAAACTTTTGGGTCAATACCTGCTTCATGTATCCTTGTTTGTCATCTAGGACTCATGTCTGTAGTATCTTCAGCAATCTTAACATCAAGTTCTGGCCTGTAACCAAGAGCAATGGCAATAGCTAGTATTGTTTCGAGGTCTATGGGACCCCCTTGGTGAACACCTCCAAAAGAGAAAGTCCATTCCTGGCACTGGGCTTTTTATTTGCTAGCTTGTGGTATCTGGTAGGGGCATTGTCCCTCCACTGTAGAGTAACTTCATTTAAACCTTTCTTTTTCCTTTATTTGTTTTTTTGATTATTTTAGTGTATGAGTGTTTTGTCTACATGTATGTAAGTGCATCATGTGCATGCAGTGCCCACAGACCAGAAGAGTGTTGGATCCCCTGGAACTGGAGTTATGGATGGTTGTTAGCCATCATGTGGGTGCCATACCCAGGTCCTCTGCAAGAGTAGCCAGTGCTGTTAACCTCTGGGTCATGTCTCCATCCCCTTTAAACTCTTCTTTATATCTGTATCAACTTTAAGAAGCTTTTGTAGTAGGTTTCTGTAGGAATTTTTCAAGGGGGCTTTGTCATTAGTTTCTTTCCCATACTTTCTCCTCTGCCCTCACCTCTCCCGTCCCACCAGCTCAGCCCTTCCTGCTTCATTATTTCTCTTTCCTCCTTTATATCACTGCAGTCTATCCCCCCACCCCCTGCCCCGGGGATGCTCACTAGTTTCCTGACCTCTATGGATTTTCCAATTGAAATACACATACCTACAGATTGAAACTAGCATCCATGTATGAGAGAGAACATGAGGATCTGTCTTTCTAGGTCTGGGTTACCTCACTCAGGAAGATTATTTCCAGTACTATACATTTAACTGTGAATTTCATTTAATTTTGTTTTCCTTAACTGCTGAATGATATCCCATTGTGTACATGTACCATAATTTTGTTATCCAGTCATCATTTGATGGACATCGAGGTTGTTTTCATTTCCTCGCTATTGTGAATAGAGCAGCAATGAAGATGGATGAACTGGTGTTCTGGTTTGTTTCTCCACTGCTGTGGCAAAACACTCTGATCAGTATCAACTTGGGGAGGAAAGAGTTTATTTGGCTTATATTTCCCTGAATAACAACTCATCAGGGACCCCAAGGCAGGAACTCAGGGCAGGAACCTGGAGGCAGGAGCTGGCACACAGGCCACGGAAGAATGTTGCTTACTGACTTGCTCCCCTGGCCCATGCTCAGCCTGCTTTCTTATACAATACAGAACAACCTGCCCAGCGGTGGTACCACCTACAGTGGGCTGGGCCCTTTCACATCACTCAAAAATCAAGAAAATACCCCACAGACATGGCCACAGGCCAGAGCAATGGAGGCAATTTCCCAGTTGAGGCTCCCTCTACCCAGGTGTGTCAAGTTGACAGCTAAAGCTATCCAGCACAACTGGTATCTCTATATAGAGTCATTTGGGTATATGTCCAAGACTGCTATGGCTGGATCATGTGGTAGGTTTATTTTCTAGCTTTTTGAGGAATCTGCACACTGATTTCCACGGTGGCTGCCTCAGTTTGCACTCCACACCGGCAGATTTTCCCAGTCTTATATCCTATACACAGTAACTATGATTATCTCCCTTCATAAATTGAATTGTGAGGATGTTAGCTTAAGCCAGTCGGGGAGTTGAGATTTGACCCCTGGAAGGCCACTGTTAGAGCCCATCCACTTAGTTGATGTATTTTGGGAATTCCATGAATGAAAGAGGAAAATTCACTTTGGGTGATTTTTGAGACCAAGAGTCATTGTGTTATTGAGGAAGAAAAATATCCTAAATTTAAAGGTCAATCAACAGAGGAGCCAGAGGATGGCCCAGTTGTTATGAGCACTTATTGTTCTTAAAAGGACTGGAATTTTGTTTCCAACACCCACATTACACAGCTCACCACCACTGTGACTCCAGTTCTAGGTGATCCAGTACTTTCTTATGGCCTCCATGGGCACCTACTCACACAGACACACACGCAGACACACACACAGACACACACACAGACACACAGTCACACACACAGTCAGTCAGTAAGTCAGTCAACAGATCCTTGAGACCAGAGTTAAGATGTAGGCCTTAACCCAACCATCTTATCATAATTATATCTCTAGTTATATTGTTAATTTTGCATCCTGAAGACATGTGACTCAGACTCAGAATCCAGCTTTTGGAGTACTGTGCAGCAGTACCGCCCTTCCTCTGGAAGTCAGTCCCACTCTACTTTGGCCCCAAGAGTGCCATTTGACCAAAACGTTGGACTCATAGCATACTGAGAATAAAAGACATTCAGTGGGACTATTTTATGCCTTTTAAGATTTCTTTGAGGTGGCTAGGTATGTGGCTCATTGGTCAGAATGCTCACCTACCATACATGGAGCCCTGGGTCTATCTGTAGCATACCGTAAAACCAGGTGTGTTGATGTGTGCCTCTAATCCCAGCACTTGGGAGGTAGAAGCAAAAGAATCTGAAGTTCAGTTATCCTTGGCTACACGGTGAGTAAGGCTAGCCTGGGCTTCATGAGACTCTGTCTTAAAAAGCAAATCCCCTTTTTTTTGTTTTAAAAGATCAGCCAGTTCAGATAGATGAAAACCTTACTTGAAATTTCTAGAGACTCAAATTGCTGAAACGACCCACTGCTTTTTGTAATTCTATAAAACTTGACAAATATAAACCAGTAGTCAGAATTCTTTAATGAGCTGAAGTTGATTTCCTTAGTTGATCAGTATCTGTTTTGACCAAAATGTGAACATTTTTCCCCCTAATTTTTAAGGAAGTGGGTGGATAGTCTATTTCTTTATTGAGACCTGGAGAGGAAGTGACTTCATGTAAGTGACCTTGGAATCCAGTCTTCTGAAGGCAAAGGAGAGATTTGAGATTGAGGACTGATAGAGTATGTGGCTTTGAGCAGGTCACCACACCACACTGGCCTCAGTTGCGGTGTCTTTGAGGGAAGTAGTTTTAGGCCTCCGTGATCCCAAAGGTGCCTTTTAATGTAAACCTTCCTGCTCCTACCCAGCAAGGCTACATGTATTAAACCTGCGCTGTGGCTAAAAGCTTATTCATTTGTTTCAGCGAGTTTCCCGCTGTGTCTGAAGACTCTCCAGCTGCTCTGATGATGGCTTAAGCAAGCTGCATGCTGCTCCGTCTCCGTGCCAAGCCAGGATCCCAGTCCTCCTTGGAGACCGGCTCCCAGCGGGAACGGCAGAGCAGGAAATTGGTGCCCAGATGGTTCCTTCATGTGAAGTTGTTTTGGGCTGTGGGCTGACGGGAGAATACTTGGTCACCAGGCCAACACACTGTCAGTCCCCGGAGGCAGGACAGCATGGTGTGGATTCAGAGGAGGAAGCTTTTGGCCTCGTGCCTGTGCGTGATGGCTACTGTCTTTTTGCTTGTCACACTCCAGGTACTGGGAATTTGGGTTGTGTAGTGCAGACTTGTTCTGGGGCCCTTTACCATCTCCCTCCTCCCCAGTTCCCTTCCCTGAGAACCCTGAGTACTTTTACCTTTGCTTAATTTTTCTCATCAGGGGCTTTCTACTATGCAGTAGAAGGAGAACACCTTAATTCCCCCCTTTCTTTTTGAGGTGGGGTTAGGAAGACTGAACATCTGATCTTCCTACCTCCACCTCCCAAGTGCTGGGAAAAGAGACTTGTGCCACTATGCCCAGCCATTTTTTTTAATTAAAATTTTTTTGGCCATCCCCGGGTTATATGTATATTCCGTGAATCCAAACTCAAAAACTTTATTCACTCAGCTGCCTCTCCGGCTCCAGAACACTTTTTAACAGATGAAACTGAGGCCCCCTTCCCCAGATTTACTTAAAAAAAATTGGTGTGTATGTGTGTGTCTGGGTGTGTGTGCTCGCGTGTGTGATTGTCCTTGGAGGTGAGAACAGGGCATCAGATATTCTGTAGGAGAGTTACAGGCAGTTATGAGCTACGGATATGGGTGCTGGGACCTCTGGTCCTTTGCAAGAGCAGCATGTATTTTTAACTGCCACGCCATCTCTTCTGTGCTTGAGACAGGGTTAGTGGTAGGAGTGGGTGTTGTTCATGGGTGTGCTCAGGAGAAGCAAAGGCAGGAGGCTAGGGGACAGTTTGTGACTCTGATAGTCCTGACTTAGGTGTTCAGTCTTCTCAGTCAAAGCTCATTGAGTGCCTCAAAGTTTTCTGGCCACTTCTGAAAGACAGTGTTCTTGAAGAAGCAAGGAATATTCTGTGCATGGTATCTGAAAGATGTTCTGTATCTTGTAGTAAGGGCAAAATATACATAATTTCATTAATCAGTTCCTTTCTGTTTTTTAATCCATGAGACTATTGTACAAGTATGCAATAAAATACCATATTCATCCTCACTTTCCTCCCTCCAACTTTCCCGGTAACAACCCAACATCTCCAACTTCATGTTTTCTTTCTTTTTTTTTTTTTTTTGGTCTTTTTGAGACAGGGTCTCCTCATAGCCCCAGCTGTCCTGGAACTCACTATGTAGACCAGGGTGGCCTTGAACTCACAATGATCCACCTGCCTCTGCCTCCCAAGTGCTGGGACTACAGGCGTGTGCTACCACGCCCTGCCAGTTTTTTTTAAAAAATAAAATAACCCACTAAGTCCATTTAGTGTTGCCTATGTGTGCATGGGTGTTGGACCATCCACTGGAAAAATGATTGTCCCCCCCTATCAGTTGTCAGCTGCCAATGTCTTCTCAATGTAGGGCCTGAGCACACCACCCCATCTATGTGAGAATGTTGACAAGCCTGGTCTTTTGACAGTCTTGTGCAGGTGAGCACAGCTGCAGTGAGTTGTTGAGTGCAAGGCTGTGTCCTGTCCAGAAGACAGCACTTCACACCACCCTCCCCATTCTCTGCATACGTGCTTTACACTCCCTCTTCTGTAATGTGTAATGACACTGTTGATGAAAAACTACAATGCTTATATATTAAGAATCACTGTTTCCACTAGTTTATAGGGTAGGCAGATAGAGTAATTTGCCACATAAGTTGGGTAAAGGAAGATAAATTAAAGAAACAGTCTTGTCATGGATCCTCTTACGTTGCTAAAGCTGACATAAAAAGTTCCTTCTCATGATTCTGGGGCCTGAAAAGCCCCAAAACAAAGGTCTTAGCTGGGCTCTTTCTTCTGATTCCCTCCTTGACCCACGGGTGCTTGTCTCCTTCTGTTTTTTCCTTTCTTTTCCTCCCTTCCTCTCTCCCTCCCTTTCCTCCCTCCCTTCCTCCCTCCATCCTGCCCCTCCTTTCCTCCATCCCTCCCTCCCTTCCTTTGAGACAGGGTCTCACTGTGTAGCTATGGCTTCCGTGAAACTTATACAGATCAGGCTGACCTCAAACTCACAGAGATCTGCCTCTATCTGCCTCCTGAGTGCCGGGCTTAAAGGTGTGTGCCACCATGCCTGGCCTCTTCTGTCTTTATATGGTCTGCCCTCTGTACTTTTCTGTGTCCAAATTTTCCTCTTTTATAAGGCTTCCAGCTATGTTAGGGTCCTAATGACCTCATTTGAATTTAATTAACCCCTTCATGACTTTACCACCAAATATAGTCACATTCTAAAATACGTGAGCTTAGGGCTTCAACATATGAATTTTGGAGTGTAGAGTTCAGCCCATAGCACATTTTATAACATAAATCATGTAATTAACAATGCGATAATTAATCTTCATTGTTAACTTGACTGAATTTGGAATCATCTAGCAGATACACCTCTGGATATGTGGGAGGGCTTTTCCAAAGGGCTTTAATAGAGGCGGAAGCCTAACCCTGATGTGGGCAGCACCAACCCATGGGCTGAGCGGCCAGACTTAATGAAGGGCAAAGGAAGAAACCAGATGAGCTCACTTTCCCTGCCTCCTACTCTGCGGAGACATGAGGCGAAAAGTCCTAGCCACAGATCCCACCACCACATAGTTGCTGGTCTGCGTGCTTCATCCGCTGCAGTGCATTGTATCCCGAACCGTGAGCCAAAATTAGCCCCTCCCTCATGAAGATGCTTCCTGTCAGATACTTGGTCACAATAATGAGAAGAGTAACAGAAATGATAGTCTAAACATGAAAATGTAAATGCTTACCCCCAGCTAAACATTCTTGGAGGAAATAATTGATTTTAGACATTATTTTTCACTGTATTTTGTCAGGAAATTCATTGAGTATATATGTATCTTTATTTTTGAATTGTAATTATTTTGTTGCAAAATAATTCTTGAATACATCTGGAATGTTTTAAAGCAAATCTTTGATATGATAACAGCATTTCACTTGGCTATATATCAGTATGATTTTCTAACAAATCTGGATCACTTTTTAAAAAAATATTTTTATTTTATTTTTTTTTTTATCATGTGTATATGTCTGTGAGTTTGTGCACATGTGTTTAGTGCTAGTTACAGGCTACGCGAGCTGCTGATGGGGGTGCTGGGAATTGAACTCTGGCCCTTTGGAAGGGCAGTATGCAGTCTCAACCTTTGAGGCATCTCTCCAGCTCCTCATTTTTCTTTCTGATACTGGGTTTCTATAGCCCAGTATCATCCTCCTGTCTTTTGTCCTGAATGCTGGAATTATAAGTGTGTACCCTACATCTGTACAGGCCTATTTATTTTTATTTTTATTTGAGAGAGAGAGAGAGAGAGAGAGAGAGAGAGAGAGAAGAGAAGAGAAGAGAGAGAGAAGAGAAGAGAGAGAATATGCCGTGTGTTATGGGTTCTTGTGGAGGTCAGAAGAGGGTGTCAGATTTCCTGATACTAGAGTTATAGGAGGTTGTGAATCACCAGACATGGGTGCTGGGAACCAATTTCAGGTCCTCTGGAAGACCAGTAAGTGCTCTTAACCACTGAGCCATCCTTCCCTCCCAGAGACTTTACAAAATATAGCCATATAACTTCTCTCTCACCCAACACAGTGAACAGTAATTTCTCTGTACCTTCTATCACAGATATGTTAGATTTCTCCTAGCAAAAAGTCCTTTTATGATAGATTTGTTTGAATCTGCAATAAACAGATCCCCACACATTGCATTTGGTTGCTGTGTCTCTAATTTTGCATTTGTATTTTTTTGGAGATTTCTTTTATCCAACATTTTATGCTATGTCATGAATTTATTGAGGAAACTGGCTTATTGTCCTTTGAGTTAACTAGATTGTGGATCTGACTGATCTTAGCCTTAGGGTATCGTTTAATGTCCTTCCATCTTCCATATTTTCTACGACCTAATCATGATATCTAAGGATAATTATACTTTAAAAAGGCTGTTTGACAGAAAATATCTCCTTAAAACAGTTGGTATTATTTGTAAATGAACTTAAACTTTACATAGGACATGTCAGTCAGAAATGTGGAGCAAATTTTATATTCGAAGTTCTGTCTTACGCAGTTGTGAAAGCCTTTTTTCTTTAAGGTAAGGGTTGTACATTTTCAGGGAAGGTCAAATGAAGAAATAGTTTGGGGCTGTAAATTAACTCTATTCCATCAAGCTTGTGGGGGAAGAGCCACATTATTACTTCATAAAAATGCTGAGAAAGCTCTTGGCAAGGGTTAGGCTTTTGTTTTTCATACCATGGTGTTACAGGGATCTGTGCTTGTTTAAAGCTAAGGTAATTTTTAAAAATCTTTTCTTTATTATTTTTATTTTATGTGTATGAGTGGATTGCCTGTATGTATGTGAGTGCACCTGTGTCGTGCAAGCTAATATAATTTTTTAACTTTTGGAATAGCACTTGGCTTTACTAGGGAAATTCTTAATACTTTCATTGGTTGCAGATACTTTTGAGAATCTAGTGAGACTTTTGGCCCTTCCCCAGGAAGTTACAGACTCCATGTGATACACAGTAGTTAGTGGTCCCTCTCACACCAGGGTAGCAAGAATATTAAAAAAAAAAAAAGAGCTGCCTTTGGCTGCTGAGTGTGAGGCCCCATCCACACAGGGCACAGGCCCACTGTGGAGGGGTTAATAAATCATCTCTTGGGGTCTACAGGGGATCTGTTTCAGGACCCTCTGTGGATACCAACCTCTGCATATCTCAGAGTCCTTGATGTAACATGGCATAGTGCTTGCATAACTTATTGTGCTGGATAGCTTTAGTGTCAACTTGACACACCTGGGTTGAGGGAGCCTCAATTGGGGAATTGCCTCTATTGGACTGGCCTGTGGCCATGTTTGAGGGGCATCTTCTTGATGAGTGATGTGGGAGGGCCCAGCCCACTGTGGGTGGTGCCACCCATGAGCAGGTGGGCCTGTGTTGCATAAGAAAGCAGGGGTCAGGGAAGCAAGCCAGTAAGCAGTGCTCCTCCATGGCCTGTGCTCCAGCTCCTGCCTCCAGGTTCCTGCCCTGAGTTCCTACCTTAGGCTCCCGGATGAACTGTGACCCAGGATATGTAAGCTAAATAAACCCTTTCCTCCCCAAGTTGGTAGTGGTCAGAGTATTTTGTCACAGCAATGAAGAAAAAACTAAGACACTTATACACTCTTGTAAACTTTAAAGCTCCTCTAGATTATTTATGGTACCCAATGTAATGTAAGTACTATGTGAAGAGTTGTTAAACTGAATTATTCAGAGACTAACCATAAGTAAAAGAAGTTTGCACATGATAAACACAGATTCAGGTTTTTTTTCCTTTGAGTATTTATTGTGCTGGTGGAATCTGTGGCTGTAGAATCTGCGAATACGGATGGCTGACTGTATAAAGATAGGGATACTCCTGCCTTTAACTGCTTAATTAGCTCCACAGATAGAGACAAACAGACAAATAAGCAAAGTTTCAGTTACCTATAAAGTAGATCAGCCCTTTTCTGTCATAATCTTTATAATGCCACATTAATACCGAATCTTAAAACTTGATTTTAAAACCCCAGCATTTTCGGAGGACTACTGCCAGTTATTTTCTGTCCCACCCACCCTGCTCATGTCCCTGAGGAGCTGGCTGACTGAGACTATCTTGAAGTAGATGACAAGTGTGGCTTTTAGTGGAAGGAAGTGGAAGTTCAGTACTTGATGGTCTACTGCACCAAAAATATAAACTGTCTTTTCTTTTCAGTTTGGGGCCCTGAGGATGGCAGACAAAAGCTCTGCCATCACCTCAGCCCCTGTCTGGAGGTAGTTTTGACACTAGATATAATGTCACAATGTGAACACCAACTTCAGTGGGTATTTAGAAATAGAACACTCATGTACTTTAATTGCAATAAGAAATCATTTAATAATTTGTAACTTTCTTCCCCAGAGTGTGTCTCTAGCAGATCAGTAACAATGTATCGTAGCTTTCAAGAGACAGTAGTCTTCTGGAGACTGCTCTTTCATGGAAGATGGATGATGTACTGAATGTCCACTAGAATGTCAACCCGAATGGTGGATGCTTTGGGAGCTGTGTACATGCTCTGATCCCTAGAACCTGTGAATGTGTCACTTCAAATAGCAAAAGGGATGTTGCAGATGAGACTAATGCCGTCTGCCTTGAGGTGGAGAAGAGCTTTGGTGTGACTATGTCCCTGAAAATTCATCTGTTGGAAACCTAGTCCCCACTGTAACAGTGATGAGAGGTGGGGCTGTTAAGAAATGATGAGGCTGTGGATTAATGCCATTATTGTGGGACTGTAATGTCTAGGGAGTGAGTTGCTGAAGTATCCTTTTCTGGGGATGAAACCTAGGGCTTTGTGCAAACTAAGCAGGTGCTCTTCCACTAAGTACCTCCCCTCCCCTCCCTGCCTCTCTTCAGTCTTTGATTACATGGTCTTTAGAATGCTAAGAAACAATTATTTACTCTTAAATAATTTACTTTATGTGTATGAGTGTTTCGCCTGCATGTACGCGCACCTGTGTGTGCAGTGCCTGTGGAGGCAGGAAGAGGGGTCAGATCCTCTGGAACTGGAGTTATGGATGGTTGTTAGCTGCATGTGGGCATTGAGAACCAAACCAGGTCCTCTGCAAAAGCAGCCGTTGCTCTTAACCACTGAGCCATCTCTCCAGTCCCCAAATCTCTATTTTTTATAAATCACTCATCTTTAGACATTATGTGTTCAGCACTAAGTGGACTAAGACAGGAGTTTATCCTGAATTATCCATGGAGCACAAGAGTCATTAAGAGCAGAGAACCTTTCCTGGCTGTGGTCACCGAGAAAGAAAACGTTAAGAGTAAGGATGTGGTGTCACTGGCTCTGAAGATTGAAAGTGGGGCCACAAGGCAGCATTGTGAACAATCTCTAAGAGAAAAGGCAAGCAGTTGTGGATGTAGGGTGCTGGCCTTCGATTTTAGACCGCTGAGTTGCATTTCAAGCTCCTGACATCCAGGACTGTTATTTTAAATCTGTAAGTTGTATTTTGTTACAGAAAACTGACAGGGAACTGAATCACAAGATGAATGGGCAGTGTGCCAAAGGAAGCAGACGGATTGCGCTCTGGTAACTGTTGTCTTCACTTTCAGGTAGTGGTTGAGCTTGGGAAATTTGAAAGGAAGAAGTTTAAAGATTCTCATTTGCAAGATGAACGCAAAAAAGTGGAGGAAGAGCCTAAGCATCTTCACCCATTCCCTGAGAAAGAAGCACTAGCCTTGGGTGGGAAGAGCAAAGCAGATGTTGGTGCTCATCCCATCATGCTCTGGTGGTCTCCACTGACTGGGGAGACCGGCAGGCTGGGCCAGTGTGGGGCAGACACTTGCTTCTTCACCATCAACCGGACCTTCCAGCACCATCCCATGACCAAAGCCTTCCTGTTCTATGGTGAGTTGGGCTTTAACTCCCTCCCTTTGTATGTCTTGTTCAAATCTGCATCACTGCTTATGTCCTGAGAGGGCAGAGCTCTCTTCTAGCACCTGATGGCACACTTAATTTCCTCCGTGCTGGTTCTGTGGGAGGCCTGAGGCATTTAGCACATATCAAGCAGCCTTGGCCAACATGGGCTTGGTTGGGTGAGACAGTGTTTATGGAGAAGAGGAAGTATTTTTCTCATGTTTTCACAGCTAAGTGTTGTGCTTACTGAACACAGTATTTGGAATTGGGTGCTGTTAACATCACTTCAGGACTTCATTTGGGATGAAGGCAGGGGATTTTGATTACCATGACAGATGTTTAATTGGATATAAGCAAGCATGATGTTCTTTATTTCTTTGATGTTTGTTTAATCAAAACTAAAGAATGAGCCAGAGGGATAGCTAAGGTGGTGAGGTGCTTGCTGTGTAAGCATGGGGACCTGAATTTGATCCCCAGAACCATGTAAGACAGACAGACCTGTGGTGCACGTTTGTAATCAGACAGTGGTCTAACCCAACTCTAAAGCCTAATGACCATAACAACCAGCACAGCAAACCACCTCTATTGGTGCAGTGGTGGCACTGCTATCTGGGGTGATCAACAGCTATCTAATTGGACTTAAAGCCTCTCAGAGGGAGTGAGCTCATGGATGACACTGTAAACATATGGCTGGAGAGGTCATAGATCCTAGAGAAAACCCTATCTATGTCTGCCATTTCTCTCATTGTGACCTGGTGCTCACCAATTAGGCTAGGCTGGTTGGTCAGGTAGTCCCAGGGACCCGTTTGTCTCTACTCTCCCAGTACTGTGATTATAAATGTGATATGAGCCACCATGTCTGGACTTTTTATGTGAATTATACAGATCAACTTTAGGTCTTTCTGCCTGTGGGCAAGCACTTTATTGACTGACCATCTCCCCATCCCCCAAATCAAATATTAAACATGTATTTGTTTGTATGGGGGATTGAAACCAGGGCCTTGTGCATGCTAGGTAAGTGCTCTGTCATTGAGCTATGCCTCAAGCCCTACTACAGTTTTGTTGACTTATTTTTGTTTTATGTATATGATTGTTTTGCTTGCATTTAAGTGCACCATGTGCATGCAGTGCCCACAGAGGCCAGAAGAGGGCATCAGGTTCCCTGGAATTGGAGTTCAGATGGTTGTTAGCCTTTATGTTTGTGCTGGAAATGGGATCCCAGTCCTCTGCAATAGCAGTTAGAGCTCCTAACTACTGAGCCATCTCTCAGTCCCCTCACCCCCCACCAGTACATCAGTGGTTCCTGAAGGTGAAACACGTGAGCATCTGTCCGCCAGCACCGCTTCCCACCCCCACGCCGCAGTTAGCTCTTTACCTCTTCTCCTCCCCCTTCTCTGGGATGGCGTACCATCTCTTCATCAGTTTGGAATTTGGAAATGATTGCTGTGCTGGGGGACTACTTTCTTCTGCTATGGTAGGAACTCACATAGGTGTGGCTGGTGGGAGGCTGGTGAGGCAGGGTTCAGCAGGACTGTTCAGGACTCTGATCTACACGAAGTGATCCCACACTTCATTCTGTCATCACGCAAGGGCCGTAGTTCTCTGAGGTGGCCACACCTTGGTCCAACTTCCTGACTTGTCAACAGTTTTCCTTGGGTGTCACCATTACACCACAGATCCTCTTACTTGCCAGTGACCCTCTTTGAGAACCAAGTGTTTGTTATCTTTATTAGTATGTCATTCAAGGCTCTGTAAATCTACTCTAGCCTGCCTTCCAACCTTAACCCATCAATTCTACTAGCTAACCCTTGGGTACAAAAGTCAGACTAGAACAGCTGCTGTTTTGGATATGCCACAAATCCTCCTGACTTGGCATCATGGTTTATTCAGTCTCTGTGTACAAAAGGGTCCATTTGTATTTCTCTTCCAGAATAATCTAGCACATACCCTGCATTTGATTAGCAGTGTAGATGAACAGCAATTTCTGCTATTACCCAGCATACACAGGGCACGCTGACCGTGGTGCCACTACAGAAATGTCCATAGCTCTTGTGAGATAGGAAGGATATCAGAAAACACTTTCTAAGGCCTTGTTCATGAAGTAGGAGACAGACTGGGGCAGCTCAGTGGTAGAGCTTGTGCTTTGCACACATGAGGCTCTGCATCCAGTCCTCAGCACCAAAAACAGAAACAAAGTGGGAGAGATTTGAAGTCGACCTTGAGGGAAAGTGCAGGCGGGTTGTGTTAGGATCTGATGACATTCCAGTATGAAGAGCAGTGTGAATGGGGTGTGCAGAAAGAAAAATCAGAGTAGTGTCTCTATTCAATATAACATGGAATTCTGTGCAATGGAGCGGTAAGGATTGAAGGATGTATTGGGACTGAGCAGGGATGGTGACCTAAGAGTTTACATCCAGTTAGAGGATGGTGTTAGGGAGTCACTTAAAGCTGAACATCCTTTTAAGAATCAACTACGGGGAAGGGGCAGAAAAAAAATCTCAATGACAGTCTGCGGATGTGGCTTAGTTTAGACTTGCCTTGCGTGCACAAGGATCCAGCTTTGATCCTGAGCTGTGCGAAAGCAGAAGCCAATTCAGACAGAACACTTATGAACCATCCAAGATTCTCTTCCACCAGAGGAGCCATTCTTCTCTGAATGCCCATCTTCTACATGCCAAGCACAATGCTGATTGTGTGTAAGAGAAGATAATAAGGTTCCCATGGCCTTTGGTTTTGCACTGTGTGGCGGTCTCGTTCCTCATACGGTATGAGGTTTTTGGAGATAGGGCAGCATCAGCTCATCTTTGTATCTCTCTGGCCTCCATATCTAGCATAGTGCTTTCAGGATGGCTGCTGTTAAAAATATTCAGAGACTTTGAGCTATAATGGACCCCAGTGTCTACTCCTTTGTTAAATTGAGGGTCAAGGATATGTTATTGCTGCTAGCAGTTAGCAGTGGGGCTGGATGGGGGGGACACTTTTCTTGTGCATTTCTTCTTTCTGTTGTTTTTTAGATTAGGGCCCCCCAGTGTAGGCCAGGCTGGTCTCAAACTTCAGGTCCTCCTGCCTCGCCTTCCTAGTGCTGAGATTCCAGGTATTGTACTCTGAGATGCATGGCCCCAGCATACTTTATATCTGAGGGATTCAAATCTTTATTAAATAAGTCACTTATGCTGCAGTGGAACTCCGGTTCTGCAGGGCTGAAAAAGGAAAGGCAGAAAAGGGATTGGGGTATCAACAGTGGACCCAAAGAAGGGAGAGGGAACTAGAAGGAGCAGGCTACCTCTAAGCTTTTATGAAACAGGTTGTTTGTTTAAACTATTTTCTCTTTCTTCTTCTGTCAGAAGATTTATTTAGTTAATGAAAGCATGTTCTGGAGGTAATAAAGACTTTAAACAGACTTTAATGAACACTTATGTCTGACTTGAGCCATTTGTCACAAGCCCAAAGTGACAAAGTCAGGTAACCATGGATTGAAATGTCCAAAACCATAAGGCAAAGCAACCTTTCTTCTTTATGAGTTGATTTCGTCTCAGACTTTGTTACAGCAATGGAAATCTGACTAGCATACTCAGTATCTTCCTCAGAGCTAGACGGTAGATTGTTGCTGTTTAGACTGTTACTGTTTACCTCTCTTCTGTCTGGGTTTCATGCACGCACTTTTGTTTGCTTATTCCTTCTCAGGCACTTCATTTGTTCACTTTTCATCTGTTCATGACCTAGATGATAAACGAACATTGTGTGTGGAATGAGGCCAGCAAACATTCTGCTTTTTTCTTCGCATTGTCCCTTAAAAATACTTTATTATTTTTATTTTATGTTTATGAGTGTTTTGCCTACATGTTTGTAAGTGCCTGTGGAGGTCAGAGGAGCGTCGGATCCCCTGGAACTGGAATTTAGGTTGGTTGTTAGCCACCATGTGGGTGCTGGGAAATTGAACCTGGGTCCTCTGCAAGAGCAGTCAGTGCTCCTAATTGCTGCGCCCTCTCTCCAGCTCTTGTTGTTGCTTTAAAACCTTATTGAGGAGGTTAATTTTCTTAAACAAAAACTGTGAGAGATATGCTTTTGTGATCAGTCTTTAAAAAACAACGTTCCGATTACTTTAAGTTGCAAACTGCTCCAAGGTTGCCAGGCGGACTATTGGTCCCATGCACTCACAAAGTTGGAGCCGGCCTGCGTTCTATCTTTCGTTCCGTTCCGCTGTCCTGTTGAAGTCAGTTATGGTCTTTCTCCTCTGCACCCCATCTTTGCTCCTCTTCTCTAACTCTCACTCTGCTTTCTTCACACCAGATAGAAAGGGGGGCAGTGAGAGAAGGGAGCAGAATTAAGGAGTTAGGAAGTGTCTAACTTGGCTGGGGGGGCTTCATGTTTTCTGCACCTGCCTGATGGGAAGAGCTGGTGTCCTTTAGGACCGCAGGTAACACAAGTGTACTTTCTTTTATTCTGGGGCATTTTCCTTGGTACTTAAAGTCTTTCTGGTGGACATTAGCTTTTATAGTTTTCCTTCCAGAGAGCTTTGTGTCTGCTCTAAGTCAGGTGGGCCGACTTCCCTTTCCTGAAATTTTGCACAATGCTTCTAGCCCTTTCTGTGGAGGGGCTTCCCACTCTGTGCTACAGTTTTAATATGAGGAACCCAGATTCCACAGGTGTCTGGGAAGCTCTTGGCCACTCTCATCCCTCCTTGTTGATCATGTCACCATATCACAGAATAGCATTCCCCTGGGGCCCTTTGACCCCTCACTTTTCTGGGGAGATGGGCTGAGGGGTTTGGGCTTGGCTTGCAGTCCTCTTGAGCTGCTCTGGGCAATCTAGTATATCTCTAGGTCTTCTAGAAAGCTCCACTGAAGAAGGGCATATAGAACTGGCCCAAAGCCCTGTTCGCACACACTCTTCCTAGTCTCCCAGGATCCTACCATCCATCCTGTGCTCTTAGCATTGTAGAGCAATCAAAGAGCCACAGAATGGGTCCTCTTTCTTCCCCTCTGCAAGCC